TTTCTGTGTTAGCATTTCCTCTTCGCTAAATCTGGACTAAGCCTCGGGCTAAAGTTCCTGCCCACTCCTAGGCTTAGTACTACAGGGCGCGGACGAGCAGAGATCGCGCGCGGCGACTGCCCCCCCCCTCGAGCCACATTGCGCCAAAAAATAGTTCAGTTGGTAGCCAGCAGCAGACGTGCCTGGGAGGGTGACACACTGAACTGGGTGTACCCGGCTGGAGGGCAGTCGTGCGGTGACTGTGAGTGTGGAAAGTGCCATAGTTTTCTGATGAATCTACGGGAGTATATTCTATTTAACTTGACGCTAATTTACTACAGTACGCGCTGCGAATCTTCCGCTGGCCCGCCAGCGTCTGTCTTTTCGCTGCGAAACGGGCCTCCTGTCGGGTACCCTAAATTGGCTACGAGCTAGAGCACCACAAGCCGTTGCGGAAGCTACCTACGCTTTCAATACCTTTGCTGGTCAGAAAAAAAACCGCATTGAATTTTAAGGTTTGTGTGGTCCCAGCTAAGACTAAACTTGTGCGCTCGGCGTAATAAATGTTCTGGCTGCGAATTTCTAACATTCTAAATGCGTTAATTAGCCTTAGTGAAAGCAACAAAGGAGAACTCTCTCATATTTGAGCCTACCTTTAGTCGGGATATCTCCATTGTTATCTGGTCGCACGCCCAAATAGAGATCCAGGTACCGTAGTTCTTTCTCAAACTGTGGGTGGCACGCGTCCACAAAGGAGATCACAACTAATAGGCCAATCACTGTGTGAAAAGCTGGCATGGTAGAGATCTGAGACGATTCTCCTGTTGCAATTCGTATTAAAGAACCTGAAAACGAAGCTTCTATGAGTCGGAACAGCATGAATCTGTTCTGGAAAGGATATGACATCTGTGATAATCTAGAAGTGTGATATCAAAAGAATCAATAGGATGTGTTACAAATCGATGGGACTGACTGAGATAAGCATTTGGATCCGAAGAAGCTAGTAGCGAGTGCACTCGGGTGAGAGTGGTGATTAGACGGGTTCGTGGCGGCTCTCGGAGAAATCGCTCTCGACGCCATGACGGGTTCTCGATCGCCACTTTTTCGATTGCTGAACTGGCTTTGCTATCCCTGAAACAGTGCGTCTTTCCCAGAAAGCCTACCTGAGCAAGAAACACGCCACGTGAGACGTACAGGAGGCAGGAGGGGAGTGAGCGACATTCTGCCTCACATTTGAACCGAAATTAGTCACACTTTGCTGAATACAAACGGACGCTTCCATCTCAAAATTGAAGAGCGTATTCCAATTTAACAACAGCGTTCTACACCTACGACGTCAGAAGAATTTGCCATAGGAACATGGAACGCGGTTCGTGCTGAACAAGATTGTTGACGGGGCGGACCTACGACGTTATCTGTAACGCTCGTCCGGAGGGATCTTGCACGGTCAGTGCTACTGTCTCTAGAGAGCTTTCCATGAGATGAACCAATTGAAGAAATCATGTAGCAGCCTCAGGTTGGATTACTGCATGTCACCTCGACTTCATCAGCCACCAGTGACATCGCCTTCTAAAGACAGTGAAGTAGTGAAGAAGGGTTCACTTTCGTTTATGGAGCGGCATTTCCATATTTTACCACAACAACTCCACTAGCGAGGCATCCTGTTGCGGCCAAGTTCGTTGCTGTGGGCCATGAGTGAATCGTATTATATATTGTGGCTGGGCCTAACACCACTTCATATACTTTGAACGAAGTTTTCACTTTTTAACCCTTTCGGCCCTGGCGGTGGCAATTGCCACCACCAAATTCAAACGCTTGCATTGCCGCTGAAACAGCATGGTTTTTCTAATCCTGCTAGAGGTTGCTTCAGTCAACCTTCCCCTTCCTAATTATGAGCTAAACCTGCCATTTCATTGTGTTGCTGTTAGTATTACAAGTATTTGTGTACAAGTGCAACAATGAATCGGCGCTGACCCCCGCAACCGGCCAAGTAAGTGTGACTTTTTCTTAAAATACTTGAAGTAGATCCATTCCTAAATCAAAATTATGGGTTATAATGTTATGCAAGATTATAAACTTTTTCGGCATAACTATGAAATTTCGAATTGTTTCGACATAAGCTTAAAAACTAAGAAGGTGGGCCAATTTTCAAAGCTTCTTAGTTTCTTTGTTTGTGATCGAATAGCTTCCAAATTTCGCCATAATGATACCTATATGCTCACAAGTAATAAACAATAGCTAGAAGAAAAATTTCTCCACGGGGAAAAATTCAGGTCCGAAAGGGTTAAAATGTGTATTGACTACGGCATTCAGGAACCATTTCAATCTACCAATACACCAATTTCACAGAAGTTCGAAATAGAAATAATTCAATACAAAGTTTTCTAGAGTACAGAATCTAATATATAAACTAATATACGATTCTATATATAACGAACTAATATATGTTGTCTTATGATTTTTTTCGAATCTCCTCGCATGGTAAGGTGAAAATCACATTTTTGGGCTGTACAAATCCAAGTTATTAATATCTTTATCATATCTATCAAATCACATTAGTCAATTAGAAAAATTAGAAACTGGAGGAAAACTATCACTAAGGTGCAAAAAACACCGCTCTTGTTATTCAATTAGAACGTTGTCACAAAAAATACCCAAAACACGTACGGGAAACTATTAGACAGTATTCCACTGCCACTGCCCTTTTGTGAGTGGAGTGGGACAAAAAATTAACGCCGTATGGTGCAAATTGGCATCAATGGCGCCGTCGCCGAGGGCGAACATTCCGTTTCACTTCACCCTATTGGGGTTGTAGCAGTGCAATAGTGCCGAAATGTATAATAGCTAAAACGTCATTATAAAACACTTACCAAAATAGGCATTTTCTTAAGAAGAGTAACGAATAGCTAAATGAACACCCAAGTTTGAGATCGATCTTGAATGAACTGCAACGGCATAAATGACAGCGCTGGTAAAACATCACATATGTGGCCTCAGAAATGGGGAACTTTTCATAACGTACAGCTGACTTTTAAAGGAGCGGTGGCATATCTTCTTCGTAAACTGGAGATAAAAAGATAGGAAGATTCTAAAAGGTACACTTCCAGCCATTACTTAATCTATTTCTCGAGGCCACCCGAAAAGAAGCATTCAGAACAGTGGCGATCCAAAATGTTTTTAATAAAGAACAATCCGGACTGCTACTGAACTCAAAACTTATTTGTGGGCGGTCTCGAGGACCAGACTGAGTTAAGGTTCTGAAAGATAACCCGACAAAAGTTAGTTCACTGAAAATTGTATAACAACATCACAAAAAGTTCTAACGAAGAAGTTCGCAGCCCAGGTTCATTCAAAGCTATCAATGGCAATTTCATCTACAGCTATTTAAACCTGATTCTTTTCGCCTCCGCTTTCTGCATACGCTTCGCCAGACGAGCTCGCTGAAGCTTGTAGAGTACCGATTCGTTATCTGTGTCAAGTTCGCGATGTCTGGTGTAGCCGTCTGCTGCATGACTTTGCGCGTACGAAGTTGTGTCTGTCATCTGACGAGCTGGAATGGATCTTGCGGCAAGTCAGTTTTTGCGCCCTATAGCTTCCCACTGTGGCTCCCCTAGATTCGAGACTCGTGATAATAATTGTTCCACGAGCTCTTTTTCAAAGGTCCACTAACCGGCAGTTAAAACACGCTCATCATCAGTTTTATTCGACTTCCAGGTCGGTACTAGGTCATGCAATTGATTCACTTCTTGGAAGGCTCCGATCATGGTGTTAAGGCGGTGGATAAGCATACCTGAAGGATGCGTCAGAAATTTTATACTAACCATCGAAATAACGATTTTAGAAAAGTCCTCACCTATCGTCTGAACTACGAGAATTCCAAGAAGGAACACAATGATTGTCATTCCCAATGGATCAATCTTGAGAGGATCTTTGGTCACTTCGTACTGACCGGTCAGCTCGTTCATTTTCGTCCACTTGAAGTTCCCTACAACAACATCGTCATTGTCCGTGCTTTAGAAGCAAAGGAAAAGCAGAAGATTTCTTACGATAAGGTGTCCAGCGAATACTAAGCACATTCTTATGTTTCTGGATGAGATAAATTGCGAGAGCGAGAAGAGCGTTAAGAAGAATAATGGCGAAGGCGATATTGTTACGCAATGACGCTAAACCCTCTGCTATTGCGCTCTGCTGCTGCGGTGATGACTCGATTGGCTAAAAATTATCTGAGAAATACACAACAACATGAAATCAAAACATCAACAAAATAGCTCAACCTTCAAATAAGCTTCGATCAACTGCCTCCAAAACTCCTCTTCGGCTCCTTTAAGACGTCCCCGTTCGCACACCTAAGCAATGTATCATCTCGGCGGATTCCATTTTCGACAACAGTAAAACGTCCGATGGCACGCATGACATTGCAATTCATTCGAGAGAAAAGGAGAAATTATAACAATCGAATTTAGATTTCCTTCATCAGTTATGTTAACATCTCATTTGCTCACCTCCATTAACCGATGAACACAAAAGAAAGATACCGTTACCTGGTTAACCTCCATCTACGGTATGTGTGAAACGAGAGTTAAACCATCTCTGTTTCAACCCCTTCAACCCCTTCTTTAGAACTAAGCTGAGTGTTTATTCGCCTATTTAATTACACATTTTCGCAAAATACCAGTAAATGCCAAATTAATATATTACAACAAAACGATGGCTCTCACAGTGCACATGAAACCCACAACGGACCAGTACAAATATGTATAAAAATAGCTAGACCAAGGGACACTGTTAATACGTCATGCAGATAAGTAAACGCGCAAGTTCATCTGCGAAGCTAACCTTCAGATAGTCACCTTCCATCCACATGTACTTGTCCACCGCACGAACTGGTATTGCCTCTACAATGGGACGCCGAATTTCGACTATCTAAACATGAACTACGAAAAAAATATGTGAGGAATTGATCAGGCAGTTGTGAGGCTCACATCATTGGTGCCTGCTGCATCATCCATGTCCTTTGCCATCTTCAGTAAGACGTTCCTTTGCTTTCTGATCCTCCTGATCGATTTTCTAAAAAAA